GCACAAATCGCTTAGACTTATCTCCTTTGTTTGAAGATCCTGGCGACACCAGATTCCAGCACCTCCATCTCTTGTATGAGTTCGGCAAAATGCACTTGCTAGGTAAAAACCACTTATATTCAGATGTAGAATCGAATCTTTGAAAGCACAGATTTCATTTATACATATCAATTTTATGTCCTTGAATTCATTGAGAAACACTTCTAATTCGCCAATTTTTGAGTTATTCAGAGTCTGAATATCAATAAGCAAAAGTGATGGTTGAAATCCTAATTTGTTACTCGAGGATTTTGGCTCCTTGGGTATAAAAAACGCCTTACACATGTATTTACTGGCCACACGGTGGCATCCATTGCTTTATTGAAATTTTTCTGTAGAATTGTAACCTTAAAAGACGCATATATATTCGAATTTTTGGATTCTATTTTTTCCGTCTTCACTTCAGGAAAAAGAGACTTCAAAAGGTTCGTGATCTGCATAGATGTGGTATCAGGATGCAATCTATATACGTGCAAGTCGATTGACTTGGGAACTGCTCTAATATTTAATTCGGTGTCATCTTTGTTGCCAACCAGAACACGGGGCTTACGTCTTTTGTAGGTAACATTTTGCCATCCACCATTTTCCCTAGGAATGGTTGGATCACCTTTAGATTTCTGTACAAATTCAGACAATACTGCTTGCTGCGCTTCTCTAATGCCTTGCTGTACTTGTGTCGGGGTTATTGGGATTGATGCCGAAGAACCCTGATTTTGGAGTCGATGTTCCCCTTGTCGCAAAATAACAACGGAAGATCCAGGATCGGACATTGAAGTACTGGGTTGCTTATTTTCTCTACCGGATAACTTTTTACCACTTTGCGACGGAAGCGTCAAGCCGGCAACATTGATTACAGATGAATCAGATTTATTTTTGCATTTAAGCATATTTATTAAAGAATCCTGGGTCGAAATTGTAATTTGTTGGTTCACAATTGACCTCTCTTGCTCTGCATTCATTTTTTTCAAACATTCAATCTCTAATAGGGCACATTTCAACTCACCCTTTGCTGAACGGAGTTTTGAGGTTAGATCGCCATCCTCACCATACAAATCGTTATTTGCGTCAAAAAATTCCACATTTACACCACATTCCACAAGCTTCCGAACACTTTCACTTACGTTCACGTCAGCGGGTACTTTTTTCGAAATTATAATATCAATTAATTTACTTTTTGTTAGCTTATCAAGCTCTTTGGCAATTTCTCTATTCGCCATGTTGCCAAACTCCAAATATCTCATTTGTGCTTCTTGGCCTAAACCGGGTACAGGCTAATTCGTCTTATTACTCCCTATGTGCAGTGGCGACGCCAGGGTTTTACGTTAGGGGGGGCCAGGCTGGGCCAGAAAAAATTAGGGGGGGCACTTGTTCTTACTTAGAAAAGTAATAACTTTCCTTCTTTGAAATAAAAAATGGGAATTGCAAAGTTTTCCCGTATATTTCTGCACTCCACCTGAACAGGTTAATTGAATAGGTATCAAAAAGGTTTTTATTTGGATTTTGTATACAGGGTGTCCGTTTTTCGAGGACAACGATTGGAATATAGGAAATGGTAAGAGATACAAAATCGCAATCAATGGCCAAATGTGTTATTACTGCTTTTGTGAGATCAAGAAACTCCGAATACAATTCATAAAAATGCAAACCTCTATTTAAAAAAATAAAGTTTATGATGATCGGCAAACGACGAAACGTCGGATTTCAAATTTGGTTACACCATTATGTAAAGGGGAGAAAGTTGCCCCAATAAAGTGAAGTTTATTTGAAATACCTTTACAAATGAGTCCAGGAAAAAATAGAAATGATTTTACACAATTTTGATTTCCGTGTATAGCCTAGTACTCATAACTGCGAAATTCGCATTTTTTTGACATTGCGTTGAAAATTTGACGTTTTATGCGTGTATCAAACGTCAAATTGTCGAAGCAATGTCAAAAAAATGCGAATTTCGCAGTTATGAGTACTAGGCTTATCTCCGGAAGTATTCGGAATTTTCCAAATTTCGAAGTAGCGTTTTGTTAAGCAAGAAATTGCACAACTTTGTCCCAATTTAACCGAACCTGTATCTCTTACCGTTTTCTATATTCCAATGATTGCTCTCGAAAAACGGACACCCTGTATAGGCAAAGCTGGGCAGAAAACCGTTAATCCGTTATCCGTTAATTAACGAAGTTAAAAAAATTGCTTAAATTTAACTTTTAAGTTAACCTAAAAAATACTGACGGTTTTCTTAACTTCCGTTACATTGGACTTCCGTTAATTTTAGTTCGTTACATTCGTGAATGACGTCATGTTGTTTTCTTGAATTGCGCGTCAAGGTCAATCGGGACAGTTCGCACAAGCGTAGAAAGACAGTTCGCCAACTACGCAGTTTGGAACTGTTCTGGAATGACTCCAAACCCGATTCCGTACAGTCAGATCGATGCGCAAGCCCTTAGTTCTGTTGTTAGGTAGGCTGTGAGCTGATGCGTATCGTTGGGCGGTGGCGTTGTCTGCATTGTTCTATAAGCTCCTTTTTCTTGTAGAGAGAGGTGAATGGTAAATAAATCAGCTACCTAAATTGGAAATAGTGCCGGTTTTTAAATCTAGATACTTTTTGTTTTATTTACATTTACCTGTGCAGGAGTGTAGGTATAGTATTTTTAATACCCATTTGGAATAACACCATCCTCGTTCATCAATAGACCTGTCTCGCATGATTAGAAAAAGAGAGCTTAATTGTAATAAATACAAGTTAGAAAGCAATAGAATATGACATGCGCGCGCAACTCGTAGGCTGCAGTGAAGCCAGATTGTATTGTTGCAGAACAAAATATAGACAATACAAATCGAACATTATAACATTAAAGAAGTGATATAGTGTCAAGTGTTTTACAACGCCTTAAATCAGACAAAGCAAGAGCTTTAAAGTGGATGAACATCGTTTGCACTTTTATTTTGATAAATGTTTAATCCGGCAACATCGCTCGATGAAATTTCAAAGGAATATTTCAAGTATAATCTAACATAACCTTAAACGAAACTGCGGTGAGTTCAAGTTATATGTAAAGTATTAGTTTGTTCTTTGTCAAATTACACGTTACAAAGAAAGAAGAAACGATTGATTCTGAACTGGCCCCTGAATAAGAATATGACGCAAGCCTGTCACAAACTTGCTTCTCATTGGACACTCACCTGCAGCCTACAAGCGACGCGGGCAGTCCAGGTAATAGGAGATCGGTCTATTATGAATCAGATGAAACAAAAAAATACCAACCAATCACAAATCACTAAAACGACTGGTACTTCCAAATAGGTATTAAAAATACTATATAGCCCAGCCAATTCTATTACAATTATCTATTACTTATAATTAGCTTCAAACATCAGTATAACTTTTCGATTATTAACTCTTAACGGATAACTTTAACTTGCGTTATATTCTCAAAAATTTAACGATTAACGATTATCGAAGTTAAGTTTTCAAGTAGCGAATTAACGATTAACGAAGTTAACTTTCCGAATAACTGTGCCCACCTTTGTGTATAGGTAAATCTTCTTGATACCTATTCAATTAACCGTTCAGGGTCGGTTTCTCAATAGCTAGTCCAGGGTAAACGTGTCCAATTTCAATGTTTACCCTGGAGTTATGGTTAACTGCTCTGACCCGCTGCCTATCTGTAACTTGCGACCGCAGATAATTGCGCAATAGTCGCTTTCAAGTTGCTGTCAAACGCGAGTTTTCTATTCAAAAAAAGCAACTTGCGACCGGTTGCTGGTTGCTATGTAATTGCTGTTCGTAGAGAATAGGCCTGCCGGGAGTGACTTGCTTGCTATTGAGAAACCGGCCTTCAGGTGAGGTGCCAAAAAAACACAGGAAAACCCTGTACCTGCCGACACAAATATGTTTGGGGGAATCCCAGAAAAGCGAAAGCATAGTCGCGGTTGCCTGGTGCCCACCAAATATCAAATTATACAGAGAGCAGAAGTTACTCATGTTGCATTGTATTGTTGTCGACATGATGGCAAGTTTTCAGGGGGGGCCAGCTAAATTTCAGGGGGGGCCCCGGCCCCCCCTGGCGCCGCCACTGCCTATGTGTCTAATAAGTTGGTCCTATCTGTATAGGCTTTAAAGGCAATAATATCTAGTTGTCACTAAGTACAACTCTTCCTAAAATGATTCTGATGGTCAGCTGGCACGTCCAAAGAGAAAAAAAAAACTTTTGATTTTACATATTTATGATTATTCACAAACTTCTTGAGGATTCAGTCATTTTCTTCAGGCAATTATCGAAGAAAAACTCGATTAAGTAGGGATTTTACTTTCGTATTCATTCCTGAAAAGGTTTGTTGCAGCGTTAGCCTTTTTACAGCATTACCCATCAAACTAGTTATCCGTATCTGCCCCCTACAACCACCAACCCTGGAATCGATACAGCAGAGTATTTATACCGGTGCAGGAATGTAATCGACCTAGCACCGTATTCTTTGTGTTTAATAGACTCAATCATCCGTAGAGTTTCCCTCGTCTTACGGAAGATGACACGATTTTTCTGGCTCAGGAACTTTTCTCAGAATCGTTGGAGAGATCCTTCACCTTTCCCTAACGTGAGATGGCAGACCTGACAGTTCGGCGGGTGTGCAAAATTGCACCAGCGAACCAGTCATCGAAACGTGGGTAGGGACTCGTTAATCCATACTTTGATATACAATAAGAAATATGACTCTAGTACCTACCTACTTTGACCAAATCGCTTGAATTATAGCGGCACTCTTCATTAAAAATCTCAATTGGTTTATTTGTTTGTGCCAAATTTCTTATGAGTTTTTTTTATCATTGACGTAGGTAATAGTTGCATGAACACTCTTGGGACTTAGTTAATTGTTTACTTTGCCAAAAAAACACTTGATAGATAAAAAAAATAAATAAAAATTCAGTATAAGTAGACGCACCTCTAATTCTCATCATAAAAACTTCAACCATGAAACTGTTCATTGTTACACTTCTGGCTTCAATAGCCGCCATCCAGGCTTCACCTTTAAACGCGAGCTGCACAGTTACCTCCTACTCTGGAGTAGCTGCAGCTCTCCAAAGTTGCAGCGCATTAGTAATCAAAGATTTAACTGTACCAGCTAAAACTACGTTGGAACTAAATTTGAAGAGTGGAGCTTCTTTGACGTTCGCTGGTACTATCCGTTGGGAGTATGCTCAATGGCAAGGACCTCTTATTGAAATTAAAGGCAACAAGGTTACAGTTAATGGTGCTGGAGCCACTTTGGATGGACAAGGTATGAATACTGGATTTAGATTAGTATTTTAGGATATTTTGTAGAAAGTTTGTTTTGTATATTATGAGTAGAGGTTATGATTATTTTTACCTAAACTGTTATTTTCATTTGTTCCAGCATTTTATGATCCAAAATTTTTGAAATCTATTGTTGGTTTGCTATACTCTATATGTGTTCATCCCTCTTTCATTTAAATTCATGACCAACATTTGCATATTGTTGTCAACCAAATTTTTAATAATTTTACTATCTAGACTGCGCATTTTGCAACCAGAAATGGGTCAACCCAACCCCATACTCCAATCTATGTATTGTTATGATCATAACTTCATTGTACTGAAAAGTGGTCTAAATTTGGAATTGAACATCAATTTGTGAAGATCTGTAATAGTTATACGAAAATGATTGAAAAAACATTCTCAGTTTTCGCTTTGTAGATAAAACGTTGTACATCAGACGTACGCTTATGAACATGATTACAATAACGAGTGTAAACGATTAGAACGACGAGTTCGTAGACCGAGTCGTTCTAATCACACGAGTTTTGTAATTATGTTTGAACGCACGTGTGATGTACAACGTTTTATCTACAAAGCAAAAACTGAGAATGTGTTATCAATCATTTTCGTTTATTAGTAGTTTTATATCTTCATTTTACCTTTACAGGTTTAACTATTACATTTGTCATATCACAAAAACTAATTGTGTAATAGATTCATAACCTAGTCCATAACACCACTATAGTTATGTTATGAGTCTCATGAAAGAACTTAAATACTAGAAAAATGGTTATATGAAAACGTCATAATCAAACGCTTGTAGATAAATAACTTTATACTTCACGACCTCGTCGTTCTAATCTTTCACACTCGTCATTGTAATCATGTTCATAAACGCACTTGTAATGTGAATAACTATATCATTTAAACGCACATCTTAATTTGCTGTTTGTTAGGTGCAAAATGGTGGGACGGAAAGGGCGACAGTGGAAAAATAAAACCTAAATTCCTCAGAATCAAAACCACCGGAGGTTCGGTCCTGAAAAACATCAAACTATTAAACTGTCCTAAGCAGTGCGTCTCTATTAACAGCGCAAGTAATACTGTCTTGGATCACTTTACCATCGATGTTTCTGCTGGAGACAGTGGTGTAAGTTCAATTTTATTCTATTAAGCAATAATGTATCAAATTCAATTTTATAGTCTAAGGGCCACAACACTGACGGTTTTGACGTATCCAGCTCTACAGGCATTACAGTCCAAAACAGTGTCGTCAAGAACCAAGACGATTGCGTAGCCGTTAATCAAGGATCCAACTACATCTTCCAGAATTTGACTTGCTCTGGTGGTCACGGTTTAAGTTTGTCCGTCGGTCAAACTTCAGCAAGCGGTTCCGCTAATATCGTTAAAAACGTTACATTCTCTGACTGTACCGTAACAAACTCAGATAACGGCATCCACGTAAAGACTCACTCAGATGCTGGTGCCGGTTCAGTATCTGATGTCACTTATAAAAATATCAAATTGTCCGGTATAAGGAAATACGGAATTAGCGTACAAGAAGATTATGAGAAGGGCAATTCCACTGGAACGCCAAAAGCTAATATTCCAATCACCAAATTGACCCTGAGCAATGTTAAAGGTACTATGTCTGGAGGTATGGGTGTTTATATACTTTGTGCGAGTGGAGGATGCAGTAACTGGCCTTGGTCCGGTGTTTCCATTACCAGCGGCAAAAAGAGCAACTATTGTACTTTTACACCTTCCGGATTTTCTTGTTAGATGAATAAAATATAAAAAAATATACTTGTGTATTATTTTCTTATTGGTTCCTTGGTTAAAAATCAGAGTTTTCCACAATCCGTGCTGTAGTTGAATATTTTTAAACTTCTCAATCGGATAGACAAAAAAATATTTTAGTGGGTCTGTTGATATTTTGGAAAGACATATAGGACCCCGGCATAATAGTGTCTTGGAAAATTTCGAGAAAAATTTGGACGCAACAGAATTTGAGAATTTTTATCATACCCGAATGCTAACATCTCAAATAAATGGAAAGAATATGGATAGTAACGATGAATCAGACCAACAAGATTTCAGGAGCAATATAAGTACTGCAACAAATAATGAATCTCCAACTTCAAACTCACAATCAAGCCCAACAAAGAATACTTCAAATATTGATTTAAATGCATTGATTATGTCCATGAATAATTTGATGCAGCAGAATGCCACAACGCCAACCTATATTCCACCTCCATTACAAACATATACAGTTAAACTTAATGACTCAAAATTCTGACCACAATATTTACAAATGCGACAAGAAGGAATCACTGTTACTGAGAAGTGTCGGATTTTTCATAAAACACGTTCACTACCGAGCGTTAAAGGGCTGTCATTTGTTATAGACCAAGTATAATTCTTTAAAAGTATTATGAATATTTGAAAGATTTTTAGACAGATAGCATGTTTTGATGTTACTAAACAAAATTCCACCATTTTGTTTTGAGGCCATTAAACTGGCCACTGGTCTGTGAGTAGTGCTTGACATTAGAATAGACCAACGGCCATTTTAATGGCCCTGAATATAATATAAGAAAATACATCTGATTCAATGAAATATATTACAGAAAAGTATCAGTCTCAGTAACCCATATTTTACTTATTAGTATGTGAGTTTGGGCAATTAATTCAGCAGGAATGCCGTCAGTACCAGTTGATTTATTGTTCTGTAGTTGTCTGATTGCCTTTTCAACCTCTTCCAATCTAGAAACCTTGCTCAGTTCTTGTTGTATTGGTTTCTGTGGAATTTCGTTGAAGATATCATCTGTAATTTGTTATTCTCTGTTGAGTAGTTCCTGAAAGTGTTCCTTTCAACGATAATTCATAAAGAAACTGTCTTTAAGCAGTCTTGTGCCATCTGTGGATCGTACGGGATTGAGTCCTTTACCCTGGAGTGGTTTGTCCGATGAAAGTATAAAAGAATATGCACTACAATACACCTGGCATGTAAAACAACATACAGCAACGCTAAAGAACCAGAGGCCACTATAGTGGCTCTGCGTGTACAAGAAATATTGGGAATGGACCAAAGTAGCTAATAACCTCACCATTCACGATGCGCTTCAAAATTTTAGTAAATAAAAGAGTAGGAATATATGGCCAGATTAGTAGCCGCAGTTTACAACAGGAAACCGTAATGACCACTATAGTGGCCGGCGGTAGTCAATGCACTCAAAGAAAATGATAGGTCAAATCAACCAAAAAGAGCATATGAAAATGCGCCTATCCACCTTCATAGTTATAACAACCAGAAATTAATAGTTAAACTATTTTTACCAGAATAATAGTTCAGTAACCAAATTTTTTGTTGTTGCAACAAAATAGAGTGTATAATGACAATTATTCATGCTCAGTAATAATTATTCAGTTGAGTAACTGAATAATTGTTCAGTATCCAAAATTTTTTGTTATAGAAACAAAATAGAAGGTACAATACCAATCATTCAGTTGATAAACTATTTTTTGTTTGCTGTATCATTGGATGGTACCTTAACATTTTTTTTTGGTTGTTCAAACTTATTTTTGTCTATCTACTTGTAGGCAAGTAGTTTCGTCGAATTAAAACACAGTGTTCAAAGTAGCGGTATTTATTTTTGAAATGACACATTAACAATTACCTTGTTGTTTTCTTTTTATAAGGCGTGTTTGATGCAAGGTGGCAACAGTGAGTGGATTGATAAGGCAACTATCATGTCATCTTTACTACATGGAGAATCTGTAAACAAAAATAGCTTTATAATAAGAAGGTACATCGTAAAAAAACAGAATATTAAGATTTTACCTTCGGGATTCATTGTGTTTAACCCAGTTTTAGAAGATTTATGTTCTGTTTATATTTTACTTTTTCGTTGAATACCTATTGGTACTGCCAGATTTCTAAAGTTGCTCCATTTCTATACTAAATTGTATGATTTTCCTGTGTGTTCGAAAAATCTAGTTGTATCTATAAGAAAAGTAGGTACTTGTTAGATATTTTATTGAATGATATAAACATAAATATTTTTTCTTACCAAATTAGTAGATAGAATCCACAAGCGAATCTGTGAATAATTTCTCTTGAAAGCTATCCATCCTGACTTACCCTTCGGGTCCGAACACTTTGAACGAATTATTCACTAATCATCAGTGATTAATCTGGATTAATACCAATGCAAGTCTGTATTCCGTAAGGTTTCACCTGTTTGTCTTGTGTCTGCACTAGACGAGGGCGAAATACCTACTGGTCTGAATCCGACCACGGCAAGGAAAACCGATATAAATTTCAAATTTTGTATGCAATAATAGGTAAATCCAACCAAAAAAAAGCATTTTGGACAATAATTTTGTAGATTTATCAAATCAGAGGGTTGACTTTAAATAAAATTTTGTTAGTTAACAAATTTCTTTGGTAACTTAACAACATTGTGGTTTAAATTTACCATTAAGTAATGGTTAAAAGCAGTTTAAACAATTTCTAGTTTGGTTTGATGAAGCCGTTTAACAAAAAAACTGTTAGTGAACTAAATAATTGTTAAATTTGCCTAAAATATCATTGTCACTAAACTATTAAAATTGGTTAAATATCCCATGCATTAATAGTGGAAAATTCATTAAACATTTACTGGTTTGGTTTGACAAACTTTAACAAAAAACTGTTAGTGAACTAAATAATAGTTCAATTTTCCAAAAATATTATAGTCACTTTTAACAATTAAATTTGTTAAATATACCATCCAATAATGTGTAAAACTGAATTAAACATTTTCTGGTATGAATTGACAAAATTTAACCAAAATCCTGGTTAGTAAGCAAAACAATAGTTATAATATCTATTTTTTAAGTTGAATCAAGTTTTGTGTCGCAACAATTTTTTATTGGTAGAAATAACTTTCAAGCTCTGATTAAATTAAACAGATTGTACTTTCATTTGACAATATCACCGGATTTGTTATTCAACATTTTTTTTTTGTTGAATCAACCCATGTAATTTTTCTGAGTGTGTGTTAAGAAATTATCACCAACAAACTCAAGGACACTTCAGGCAGAATCCAGTACAGTTTGATTGAAAGAAGACCTACAATAATAACTGTTCTGGGAAATTTTGGGATTCCATTCAGAAATAATTGATCAACTTTATTCTCTTAGAAAACAACTGACTGTACAGATGACAGATTTGTTTATTCATAGGTGGGAACTGCTAAATTCTCAGATCAAAAAAGGTTCCTTCCACACTTCAGAAACCATCTAATGATACTTGAATTTGTTTTACGGCATTTGTGACGAGAATTAGAGGTGTTATAGGCTGGAAACCAACTCAGCCTCAGCATTGCAAAGATAAAATAAATTTAATATTAAACAAAATAATCAAATAATATTTTTTATAATTTTTATTCATCTAGCAAGAAAATCCAGTGGGTTGGAAGTTATAGCATTTGTAATACCCATTTAGAATAACCCCATCCTTATTTATCAATCACGAATCAGATGAAACAAAAAATTACCAACAAAAACGAACGTCTATTGCTAATACGTCAATTTCATCTACAAATAGGAAATTCCTAACCTAATTTTATTTGTGTGTCAAGAAGCGACATACGTTTTGTCACTAAAACGACAGGTACTTCTAAATAGGTATTAAAAATACTATACAACTGTTCTTCTTTCCGCTATCATTTTTAATGGAAACACCAGACCAAGACCAGGTACTGCATCCTCCACTTCCACAAAGTACGTAAACACTTATACCCTTAGCGCCAGTCATAGAACCAGTGATGGAGCTCATGGACAATTTGCTGATTGGAATGTTGCCTTTCGGTGTTCCAGAGGAATGACCTTTTTCGTAGTCCTCTTGTACGTTGATGCCGTACTTCCTGATGCCAGACAATTTGATATTTTTGTGACATCGGACACAGAACCGGTACCAGCATCTGAGTGGGTCTTGACGTGGATACCGTTATCTGAGTTCATTACGGTACAGTCAGAAAACACTACATTTTTAACGGTGTTCGGGGAACCGCTTGCTGAACTTTGACCGACGGACAAACTCAACCCGTGACCACCAGAGCATGTCAAATTGCGGAAAATGAAGTTGTTTCCTTGATTAACGGCCACGCAATCGTCTTGGTTCTTGACTATACTGTTTTGGACTGTGATGCCCGAAGATCTGGATACGTCGAAACCATCAGTGTTGTGACCCAAAGCCTGTAGTCAATAATCGGTCATAAGAATTGGTGATTGATAAAATGAAAATGAACTTCGCCTTTGTCTCCGGCAGAAACATCAATGTTGAAATTGTCCAAGACAGTGTCGCTTGCAGTGTTGCTGGAGACACATTGCTTGGGACAATTCAAAAGTTTGATGTTTTTGACAGTCGATCCACCAGTGGTTTTTATTCTGAGGAATTTGGGTTTTACGGTGCCTTTATCGCCCTTTCCATCCCAGTATTTTGGACCTAGAAACAAATTAAGAAAAACAATTATGAGAGCATATAGAGGAACGCAGATATTTTTTAAACCATTATTGTTAAAGTTCAGTGCAACTTCCACTCATGTCTTCAATAGTTAAAAGTAATTTTTTATTTATTAAATATTAGTATAATGATCTAATTCTAATTGTCTTACCTTCTCCATCCAAAGTGGCTCCAGCACCATTAACCGTAACCTTGGCGCCTTTAATTTCAATCAGAGGTCCTGCCCATTCAGCAAAAGCAAAACGGATAGTACCAGCGAACGTCAAAG